TCCAGCCACCACAGCCCCGCCTCGCGCACCCTCGGCGCGCGCCGCGGGAGGGGTCCACGCCGGACTCTGATTCTAGCCAATCATCTCTGGAGACAGCAGAGATTGGTGGGCATGAAACAGAAGGACAGCCCCTGAAGCCAATCAATCATGGGTAGAGGCGGGGCTACTGGGAGAGACTGTGGGTGCCGGGGGTGGTCCCGATGGATGAGAGGAGCTGGGAGGCGAGGGCCTGGGGGCAGGTGAAGATTGGAACTCTTGGAGAAAACGGGCAGCCATAATGACCAATCGCCGGGGAGCAAGGGCGGGGCTCCGAGGAAGCTGGCGCGACTGGCACGAGAGGAACGGAGGGCGTAGCCTGGAGGGTGACGGAGATTGGCTGCAAAACCAAAGATGGGCAAGCCTCGCGGCCAGTCGCAGGGGCCATGGGCGGTGCGCCCTGGCCAAGATTTGGAGCGTAGGAGGTGCAGAGTTTGGCCCTGAGCTCGGTGGCCGGAGGTGGCCTCGGAGTCCCGCACAGGGTCCCTTGAGACTGTGGCGAAGTCAGGCCCTCTGGCCACCAAGCGCAGAAGCAGGACCTCCAAGGTGGGCCGTGAACTTGGCCATCACGGTCGAAGGACTCGTAGTTATTTCTTCATCTTCTTTCTATCCTGTATTCCCCTGCAAATGATACGGAGAGGGTAGAGTCTCGCTGGAGGTCATTCAGCTGCCATCTGCAGCTCCGGGTAGTGCGAAGACGTGGAAATAGATGGAATCCTACTCATGCGCTTTATGATTTTCTGGAAATGTTTGACTTCTCCGAGTTCAAGCTTCTCCTCAGGATCAAAATTTCCACATCCCTGTAGCTGGACCTCCCTGCTAAGACTTTGATGAATTAACTGAATCCTAACCACAGTGCCATGAGGTCCGACCTCACAACCTTAAGCAAGGCACTTATGATCCTCGATTTCCTCACAGGACAATGAATCCTACACTTTGATCTTTCCTCTCTGGGGCTGCTTGCCTGAGAGAATTTATATTCCAGAACTTGCTTTAACCTGGTGGAAGCATTTAACTGTCAGCAAGTCACATTTTGCCTGTGAGCCCCAGCTTTTCTGTAAGATGTGGGGTCACGGGATTCTTTGCGGATAGGGAGACACCTCAGTGTCTCATTGTGTCATTGGCCACCCTGTTCTCTGATTCACCAAGTGCACTCCATTAACCTCTCCAGCAGAGAGGATTACAAATGTTCTCAGATACTGGCTCTTATTTCCTCTAGGTGTGGGCTGGGGCTGGTGGAGATCAAGTACAGAACCAGGAAATCCTAGGAGGGAATAAGACTGAGCTAGGACGTAATAAGGTCTCCAGTTTCAGGGCTGTGCAAGACCCCTGCTAAATGCTTAATCCATAACTTTTCAAAGGGCCCCTATTGAGGAAATGTCTGGGGCTCACAAGTGCAAGTCAGGAACCTGAGGCTACCATCCAACTGCTGATATTCCCGCTTGATATGAGTCTCCTCTCAAATATTTCCCACCTGTGGTCTGCCCTCTGGAGAAGAAGAGGAAGCTGTGTCTGCTGAATACCTACTGAGTGTTAGGACCACACGAGGCCAGGCAGTTCTCAAAGGCCATCTCATGACCTGACTTCCAGATAGGGGTGATGGTGCCCACTTTGCAGGTGAGAAAACTGAGCTTCATGAAACAAGTGTTCCTTGTTGGAAGGGCCCAGGGCTGGGTTTGAATCCCTGCTCTTCTTGACTTGCTAGCCACAGAATCTTCAGCAGGTGACTAAAACTCCCTGCCTTGGTTTCTCCAACTAGTCCCCAGGGTTGATGGGAGCATTAACAAAATGAATGAAGCAAAAGACAACTGTGTTGGTCTCCACTGAGTGCTCACTGAGTGTTGGATAAACTGCCCTTTTCTGGGCTTCTGTTTCCCTCTCTGTAAATAGCCTAATGGATTGTGGACATAGACTAACCATGGGTGTGGTTTGCCACCCAAAGAGGGAGATGTTTCTACTGGAGGAGTCACCACAGTGCCTACCTGCCAGGCCTTGGGAGGGAGGCAGGAAGCTCCACAGTACCCCCAGGGACAGTGCCAACTGAGGTAGGGGTCAGGCAGTGGCCCAGCACTGGGTTGCCTCTCCTGATGGTGCCAGAGGCGCTGGCTGGGCCCTGGCTTCTGTTCTCTTGTCAGTAAGCTGGCACCAGCCAACCTCTCTGCCACCTTCCAACAATGGCAGGCAGTATCTCTTGGCATCAGCAACTGACACCCCCCACCATGGGCACCTTGGCAGTACCTGGCTAGGGTAGTCTGGGGGATCCCAGCTCTTCCCCATCTGCCTGGCTTTCCCTGGGGAGGACACTGACTCTCTGTACCCACCTCCTACCAAGTTTCCTCTATTTCTTGGGAATCCCAGGAATCATCTGACATGACGGCTGTGAGCCAGGCCTGGGCACAGTGACAGGGTTTAATCAACCGAGGCTACAGAGCCATTTGCCCAAGGTCAGGTTAGCAACGCTGGCAACAGAGGAGGGGCGTGGAGGCAGGCCGAGCTGGGTTCTCATCCCACTCCAGGCCCTCGAAAGCTGGTGAGTCTGTTTCTCATCTGGAAAGTGGTGCTCACAGGCCATGCCTTTCAGAGATGTGTTTGCAGTTAAAAAGCAACAGTGTTCCTTTCCCAGGACGCTGGGCCTTTCCCTGGCTGGAGGGACAGATCCTTGACATCCTGGACACAACAGAGATGACATCAAGCCTTCTAGTTGTGGCAATCTGCCTCACTCAGGCAGCCTCACTCAGCTTCCTAGAGGCTCAGAGAGGTCTGACCACTCCTCTAAAAGCACACAACAGTAGAGGTAGAACTGGATGTGCTGGCCCCTCGCTTGTAGCAGTCTCCTCCTCAGCCCATTTCTGTCATCAACAAGGACAGGGTGCCAAGCACTCCTTAGAGGGGCACTGAGCCAGGCTTACTGGGGGCTGTGGCCCTGTGCAGCAACACACTTAGCCCAGTTTCAGTTGAGGAGGGGGAGGCTCACCTGAGGTGGCAGAGGAGGGACTGGAATGTAGGCATGGCCAACCTCAGTGAAACGTGGGGTCTTCAGCTGGAGGTGGGGCCCCACCCAGACTGGGGATGTCTGAACAGGCCTGGACCCACACCCACTTAAATCACCCTCAGGCAAGGTGGGAAGGACTGATAAGCAGGAGCCACCCCTCCAGGAAGGAGCCTGGGAACTGGGAGGGGACTGGCTCTGCTGGGCAGAGGCTTTCCCTCCAACTGCCCTGTGTACTTATTAATTTATTCAGGTGTACATTCAAAAATATTTACGGGAAGCTGGTGCACAGCAGGAAGACAGGAGCCTGCCCCCATGGAGCTCATGGGCCGTGGGGAGGCTGGTGTGACTAGAACCATGATCAAAGGGGAGCATGGAGAAGATGAGGGTGGGAGGTGGGCAGGGCCTGGAGGACAGTTGGGTTTTATGGGGAGGGCAATGGCGGATTGAGAGCAGAGCTTAGGCAGGAATTACCTGGGGCTGGCACCACAGGCTTCCTTCGAAATGGACTACCAGCACCCATCCCTGTGAGACAGCTGAAGAAACAGGAGGCTCACAGGGCTGAGGACTGCTCCAAGGTCATAGGACTGACCCAAGGCCACATTGGTGGCCAACCCAGGAGTCAAGTTAGGGCAGCCTGGAGCAGATGTGAGATCCTTCTACACATGGGCTGAGTCCCCAGTGATGGGAGTCAGGGCTGAGTGACTGGGTCAGAGGTTCTCATCAGCCTCACTGAGCTGGCAGGGCCCACTCAGCTGGCGGTGGGGGAGGTTGGACACCACAGAGGGGTGGTTCCAGGGTGATGCGTACCCACCCCCAGCTATTTCCATAGGCCAATTTCCATAGAAACTGGTGCCTTCTGTGAAAGGGTTTGAGCTGATGTCAAGGACCAAATTCAGACACTCTTCAGTCTAGAGGAGACGAATGACAAGCAGGGGGGTGGGGACTAGAGGAGATGAGAAGGGCTCCCAGTGTGTGGGCTAGAGGTGTCAGGCATGGTGCCTAGAACCAACCAGGGGGCATGAGGCTATCCTGACTGACTGGGCCACGTGGGCCACAGGAGCTGCCAGGCGACCACAATATGACCCCGAGTGTGAATGCAGGGAAGCAGTCTGCCAGGAACTGCTGCCTGGGAGCCCCCAGGACACATGTGAGGGTGGGCACTGAGGGCAGCAACAGCAATACACATCCTGTAGATGGGGAAGCTGAGGCTCAGAGAGGGAACGCGGGCTGCCCAAGCCATCCAGTGAGCAAGGACCTCGATGTGGCCAGGTGGGAAAGCACAGGACAGTTCTCCTGGGGTGACTCAGGTGCTGAAGCTAGACAATTGGGTGTCTCCCATGTGCCTAGCTCTGCTCCAACACCCCTCAGAGAGGACTCTATCCCCTCCCTACTCCCCATTTTACAGAGGATCAAATCCAAGGCTCCGAGAGGTTATGTCACTAGCTCAAGCCCACAGAGCTGAGTGGGGGCTACATGTTGAGCCCTCTAGCCCTCCCAAGGCAATGCACATTCAGAAACAGCGACCTTGGCGCCCACAGATCCCAAGTCTGACCATTGCCCTGGAAGCCCACCCTTCTGAGGGTAACAGCAAATCATATATCCCAAGCTATTCTCAAAACCCTTTGCTTTCTTCAGTGAATGTGTGGCCTCCCCAAGCATCCACCCCTCCTCTGTTCTTTGAGGCCACTGGCTGCAGCCCCCATGCCCCACAATGCTATGGAAGAGACCTCCCAATTGTTCAACCAACAGTCGTTTATTACCAGGCACCACTGGCTGGCCTGGGACCCCTGGAGACAAATGAGCCCTGGTCCCTGACCTCCGTTCAGCAGAGCAAGGCATTTGTGATTCATTTTACAGGTGAGAAAAATAGTAGCAGGGATGAGAACAGACTTGTAGGAACAGAAGTGGGATCCCTACCCTGCTTTGAGACTGGCCAGCAATGGTTTCCCTATTTCAGACAGACATCTGGCCCCAAGCAATGCTAGGGGGCTCTTCTACTGGGAAAGGGCGGCAGGGTTGGGTAGCGCAAGACAAATGATGCCAATGCTGTCAGCTGGTGAGGGGAACAGGGTGAAGGGAGGCTGGGACCCAGGGGCTGCTTTCTGCTGTAGAGGCACATCACTATTGCTCCCTTCCCACCCTCTAGCTTATACCTGATCCCCATCAGAAAACACCTCTCCTTCGTGGAGGAGGAATCTAGGGGCAGAGTGGCAGGACTTGGATTCCCATCTGCCCCCCAGCCCTCCATTCCTGACCGTTCCTGAGTCACATGACTCACCCAGAGTCACGGCCCAGGCTGAGCCTGGGGTCACTGTGCCAGGTTACCCTTCTGGCCAGTCCACAGCTCTCGGAGCTCGATGTGGCAGCCCAGGTCCCGCAGGGCAGCTTTGGCCACATCCTCACAGTCACGGTGGGCAGCACGGGCCTGAGAGATGAGTGCCTCGGCCCCCAGCTCCAGGATGGGCCGTGAGAAGGCTTGGCTGCGGGCCACCAGGTTTCGGATCAGCATGCAGGCCTGTTTCTAGAAGGGAGAGCAGAAGGTGAGTGGCTGTGAGCTGACGGGTGGGGTCCAGGGGTGGAGTCGACTCTGACCTCAAAGTCCTCATAACACAACCTGAGAGCAGCCAATATTCAGCGGGTGCCTAGGCTATGACTCATCAGGTTAGACTCATGTCCCCACTTCATCCTCTTGTCAGCCTGGGGAGCAGGGATAATCCCCCCATCTCCCAGGTGAGGGGACTGAAGCTCAGGATAGCCAAGGGTGTGGCCAGGTGGGACTGATCCCTCAGGTATGGGACCCCAAGTCTCAGAGCAATATCCCCTGAGGCTGGCAAGAGCCTGGCAGGGACTGCAGGGGAGGAGGGCAGGGAGACAGTGGAAAGAGCGGGCTTGTGCCCAGGGTCCATCTGTCCATTATACTGTTACTCAGCCAGCAATTGTGCTCTGTGTATCTGCCGGGCGTGGGTGCTGAGAAGCATCCTAACATGGCAGTCAGAGAGTGGGTGAGAAGCATGTGAGGTGTGAGGGCTTGCCTGGCCAGCGTGGTCAGGGATGGATAAGGGGATGGGCTAGCCAAGGGCACAGTGTCCTGGAGGAGGGAGCAGCAAGAGCAAAGGCCCCCAGTGGGACTGAGCCTGGTGTGTCTAAGGACCCACAAGGAGGCCCCTGGGTGGGGAAGGGATGAAGGGTGGGAGGCAGGGAATGCCCTGGGGGCTGCTGCAGGGAGGAGTGTGGGTATCAGGCAGGCATGTGCGTTGCTTGTCTACACTTCAGCTCTGCTGACACCTCAGCAAGGTGTGGACAGTGGTCCACCATGAAAAACACAAAGCAGTAGCCCAAGGTGGGGCAGGGAACCTTCCCCAAACGCCAGCAGATCTCCATCGGCTGGTACCCCCAACTCCTCCTCCTCCCCAGATCCTTCTAAAGAGACTGTTAGGAAAGGGAAAGAACAAGCACAAATAGAGCAAAGGGACAGGAAAGGAGACAACAGCAGGCAGAATTCAGCACATTTTAGGAGGATGGGAAAGTAGATAGAGGACCTCAGGTGCTGAGGAGGAAGTAAACCCTGGGGCTTGGGTCACGATGGAGATGGGACAGGGACAAAGAGGGCCTGCCTCCTTCCCCCTCCCCAACCAGCACGCCAGCCTGTTGCCCCACCTGCCCAGCAGGCTCCCATCCCCCTCCTCCTGTCCCTCATGCTTACCTGCACGCCAGCCTCCTGCGGGTGTGCCTTCATGGCCTGAAGTGCGGCCAGAGCCCCGCCACCCTCCACAATGACCCGGCTGTTCTCTGGCTTGCGCAGGGCCAGGACGCACAGGGCCGCACAGCTCTGCTCACACACCTGTGGGATGGGTCACGAGGATGGCTGAGAGGAGGCAGACAGACCCTCCATCATCACCAGCTCCCCAGGTGAGTGCGCTGTGACCTCACCTGGACAGACTGCTGTGTACTGGACCCAGAAAGGATGCCAGGGTGCATCAACCAAGCTCTTAGGGGTGATAGTCTCACCCCAGGCCCCCTGCTCACCCCACCCTGGCCCTCACTCACCCTGTCACCCTGACCCCAGCCTCTTGCTGGCTGGCCTCATCCTAGGCCTGGCCCTGCTTCAGAAGATGGGAAAGGCCATTATGTAGATACAGATACTGATATGGGACTCCAGCCATGCTGCCCTACCTTATGTGGCCCTCCCCCAACCCCAAGGTGGGTACCTGGGGGCTGGCCAGGTGCCGGGTCATGGCAGCCACAATGGATTCAGTCCCGCCGGCGCGGACGATGGCATCCTTCACATCATCGTTGCCTGCGATGGCCCTCAGGGCACTTAGCACTTGTTTCACAAGGTCCTGAAGGGAGGTGACACATAGGTCACCCCTAGCCAGCCCCAGACACTAACTGTTTGGTTGCTGGATTGTTGGGGGTGGGTCTAAAGGGAGGGTCTGGAGCTGTTTCAATGTCTGCTGCCTGGGCATGTGGGGTCACCCTGGGGCATGCAGGTAGCATATAACAGCAAGGTTATTTATCACTTTCTGTGTAGAGAAGGCAGGGGAGGCTTGGGGAGGTGGACCCTGGAGTTCAGGCCACCTGCTTTTGGATGACTCTGACACCACCCCTTCAACATACAGAAAGGGACATGTGGCTCAGACCAGCAACTAGAGCACAGGTGGGCCTCACTCAAGCACACACCTGAGCTGGGGTCTGGGCCAGCCCCTGATCACATTCACTCTGTCCTCCCATCCACTTTGGTTGAAAAAATCCAAAGATGCTAAAGGACAATGAGAGAGGGTGAGTGGGTTTGTTTTCCCTGCAGACTTTAGTTCCTTCTCATGGGTCATGAGAAGTGAAAATCGAACTTTGGTTCTGGGGTCAGTGGACAGGGCCAGCGTGTTCTGACTCAAGCCTGTGTGGCTGGCTGGGGCCCAAAGGGTCAGAGTTCACTGGGAGGCCCAGAGCCTTCCCCAGGGACTGAGAGAAATGACAAATTGAAACTCAGGTGCAAGGGCTTTGCTCCCTCATACTGCTCCAGATGCCCACCTGGTGGTCGTTGCAGTCGGCCAGCAGGGCCACTAGGATGCTGAGGCCCCCAAGGTCGACAACCTCCTGGCAGAACTCGTTGCGGACAGCCAGGCGGGACAGGGTGCTGCAGAGCTCACTCAGGATGCTGGGGTTGTCAGGAAATGCTGCAGGGAGAGGGGAGGAGAAGCCACCGGGGTGAGGAGTGGGAGAACCAGCCATGGTTCGAATCCCGCTCTGCCCGGGAAGCCTGGCCCCTCTGCCTGGCCGTGTGGCCACTTGTATGGGGAGGGCCCCAAGGAACACCAGAGGCTGCCTGGGCCTGTGGTGCCCCCTGCTGGCTCCTTGGGGAGACACAAGAATGTGCCTTCCCCTCCACAGTGTCCCAGATAAATTCCAGACAGACTGATGATCTTGACTAAAAAAAGAAATCCATAATAGTGCTATAATAAAACATCCGGGACTATTTTTGTGATCTTGGGTTGGGAATGACCTTTCCAAGTGCAACAGGACACCTAGAAGTTGCAGAGGGACATATGGGTAGAGTTGACTGGGGCAAAATTGAACACAGATGCTGAAGACAGAGCTCAGAGGCACCAAGGAGAGGCCCGACTTGAGGCTGATGAGGGGGTAGTTAGGGGGTTGGGAGTGTGGGGCAGGGGGGATGCAGAGAGCCACAGAGACACAGAGCTCAGTAATGATCAGTTCATATGTCCCCCTGGCCAGGCTGTAGCCCCCAGTGACTCCATGAACACTAATCTGGGTGTGCCATGGAGGTATTCTCTAGATGTGGTGACATCCATGACCAGCTGACTGTAAATAAAAGAGATGATCCTTGATGGTCTGAGTGGGCTGCATCCAATCAGCGGCAGGCCTCAAGAAGGAAACAGAGGTCTCCCTGAAGAGGAAGAAACTTGCCAGTGGACTGAGGTGTTGGCTCCAGCCTGAGCCTATGGCCCGCTTCATGGATTTCAGACTCGAAAGCCCCACAACCACGTGAGCCAATTCCTTGCAATAAATCTCTCTCCTCTCTCTCTCTTTCTCTCCCTGCTCCCCCCATATATACACACATATACATACACATATATACAAAAATACACATTCGTATACACATATACACACATACACATCCTAAAGGTTCTGTCTCTCTCATAGCATCCTGACTGATATGAGCTCCTATACGTAAACAGGGAAGATGCAAACTTTCCCTTGGAAAAGCAGCCTGATTTTGCAGATGGTCAGGCCTCATTTCCACCCTCTCCAGAGGTGTGGAGAGGAGACCAAGGCAGGCCCATCTACCCCGTATACAAGGCCAGAGTCATGCACATAGTCCTGGCCACAGAGCCAGAGCCACAGGGCAGGCTGAGAAGGGGAACTCATTCTTCTAGCACCTTCTGTGCAGCAGACCCCAGTCAGGCCTTTTCCAGTGGATGCAGTGGGCAGGGGGCAGGGGTTCTGGTGCCCAAATGTCAGTGTTGTGACCTCCCGTGGCTGTCTCATCAGGGTCACCCCGGAGTCAGACACGTGGACATGCACAAGAATTTGTGGCCAAGTATGAACTAAAGTGTAAACCTCCACCTGGGAGCAGCCACAGTGAGTGCCAGCAACACTTCCCATCTTCAGGAAACAGTACCCTTCTTTTTCCCTTTGGTGAGTCCTCCCTTCCCTCAGTCTGTGTTGTTAGACAGAGCCATGCCCCCTCCCCAAATGGCCCTAGAGATGAGCATGGAACCTGGTCCTGGCCATTGAGTACTGGCTTGGGACTTTCCTGGAGCAACCAGGAGTAAAGACACTGTTCTGCTAGGGCTGGCATGCAAGTGGGATCAAGCTGACAGACAAGTGGAGCCTGGAGCCAGCCATGCCTGAAGCAGTCCTAAGCCCTGATTCCCACTCTTGAAATATCTGCTCCTACCTTTGGCAGCCTCAATGAGCACCCTCAAGCCTCCATTCTCCTGCACGATCATCTTGGCATGGTCATGGGCATGGCCAAAGGGCACACGGATGTCATCATCGAAGGTCATAACACGTAGGGCCCAGCAGGCCTCCCTGACCACGTCGGCACAGTGGCTGTGCTGGGTGATAGCGCCGGTCAGCAGGGGCAGCACACCAGCCTTCACCAGGCTCTGCCGATTCTGCTCGTGCTTCAGGCAGGCATGGCGCACACAGCGGATCCCAGAGCAGGTCACGTTGGTCAAGTCGGTATTCCCGGCCAGCGTGGCCACCAGCAACTGCAGCCCCTGGGAGTCTAGGAGGTCGGGCTGGCCATCAGTCAGGGCTGACAGGGCATTGAGGGCCTGGAGCAGGAGGCCTTGGTCACCTGTGGCAGCCAACTTCCAGGTGGCAAGGAGGATGGGGTAGGCCCCCTTCTCAGCTGCCAGAAAGCGGCAGGCCTTGTGCTGCTCGCACTGCTCGCAAAAGCGGGTGAGGTGTGCTGATGCCTCCTGCAGGTCAGAGCGGGTCACAGACTCCTGCAGGTCATCCAGAGCCTATGGAACATGGGAGAATCCTCCATGTCAGCTCAGTCCAAAGAGGGCCACGGGGACAGTGTGGCATCCCTGTGGGATTCCCTCCCCAGGGATCTGGGCCTGTGGTGGCAGTTTGGTGGGGCCAGTTCCAGCTGTGGCAGCTTCCGCACCTGTGCTTTTAGGAGCCTTGAGCTTGAGAGGCCATGTAGAGAGAGAGGCCCCGCCCTCTGTGTCCCTGCCAAGGAGCCACACACATGAGTGCAGGCGTATTAAACATTCTAGCCCTGGGTGCTGTGGCATGAGAGGCCCCAAGTGAGACCTGCAGAAGAACTGTCCAGCTGAGTTCAGTCAACCCAACCAAATCGCAAGAAACAACCAAATGGCTATTGTTTTGGGTTGTTTGTTATGCAGCCATAACGAAATGATACACCTGCCAACAGCCAGCTCTCCCAGGGAGGCGAAAGCCACCTTCACCAGCCTTGCACATTATCAGATGTCTCCTGTTTGTCTCTCTCATTCACTCCACAAATATTTACCAAGCATCTGCCAAATGAAACCACACTATACACACGCTTGGTTCACCCACAGTCAACTCTAAGCCCTTGGGGGAAAAACTTATAATGAAAGTCACAAGCTCAAGAGGAGCCTACACCCCTGGAGCTTAAGGTATCATTTGCATCCAGCTCTGGTGAGGGTGGGTCTACAGACATCATCAGTTCAAAGGGCTTTGATTTGGCCTCGACTACCATGAAAGACAAGAATGCTTCTCGGTCAACCCTCGCTGAGCTCAGACTAGTGGACTTTACTGAGCATACGTTATGACGAAACAGAATATTAAGAAATAGGTTAACCCCAGAGTGTGTGACTTGAATACATGTTTTTTTAAAGAAGATACATAGAGGGAAGGGTACAGCTCAGTGGTAGAGTGCGTGCTTAGCATGAGGTCCTGGGTTCAGTCCCCAGTATCTCCATTAAAAACATAAATAAATAAAACGTAATTACCCCTCCCCTCAAAAGAGAAAACAAACAAATAAAAAAAAGAAGATATGCAAATGGCCACTAAGGATATGAAAAGATGCTCAACATTACTAGGGAAATGCACGTCAAAACCACAATGAAATACCATCACACTCATTATGGTGACTACTACTAAGAAAAAACAAAACAAAACAAAAAATCCCACAAAAGACCTGAAAATAACAAGTGTTGGTGAGAATATGGAGAAATTCGAACCCTGTGCACTGTCGCTGAGAATATAAAATGGTGCAGCTGCTGTGGAAAACAGTATGGTGGTTCCTCAAAAAATTAAACAAGGAGATCCAGCAATTCCACTTCTGAGTATACATCCCAAAGAACTGAAAGCAGGGTTTCAGATGTCTGTACACCCATGTTCACAGCAGCATCATTCACAGGAGTCAAAAGGCAGAAGCAACCCCACTGTCCATTAATGGATGAATGGATAAACAAAATAGGGTATATCCATACAATGGAATATTATTCAGCCTTAAAAAGGAACGAAATTCTGACAAATATTACAACATGGATGAACCTTGAGGACATTATGCTAAGTGAAATGAGCCAGTCACAAAAGGTCAAATACTGTATGATTCTCCTTGTATGAGGTCTGTAGAGTAGTCGCATTCAGAGACAGAAAGTAGAATGGTGGATGCCAGGGCTGGGAGGAGGGGGATGGGCAGTTAGTTAACAGGGACAGAGTTTCAGTCTGGCATGATGGCTGCACAATAATGTGAATATACTTAATGCCACTGAACTGTGTACTTAGAAATGGTTAAGATGGTAGATTTTATGTTATGAATATTTAACCACAAAACCAAAACCAAAAAGAGGATCTGGCCTTTTGGCAGAAATACTGCAAGAAACTTAAAAAGCTTGTGATACAAGTGCCACTGAGAACACACAATATGGGAGTTACAACCACTCTATGTTCAGTCAGATAAGAAAGGCAAAGAAAATGAGCAAAATTTGCACACTAGTATCTGTCAAATTTCAGGAAATCTCTTCTTGTCTTGGATCTTATTAGAAAGCCCAGTCCTTGAGTTGGCTGGCTATGGTCATCATCTCCATGGTCTCTAGGTGCTGCCTGTCACTCCCCTAGACCCCACTACTGGATGAGGAGAGCACAGTTGCTAAAGCAGAGGTGGTAGGGCCAGCTGTGCTCCATCTGTGACAAGTCAGCATGGTGACAGGGACTTGGGCCACCAACCCTGGGGGTCATTTTCTGTGTCTCTGTGACTGATGGCTTTTATTCTGGAACTTTCATGTATAAAACTGGACTAGTTTCTATTCAAAGAGTTCCAGACTTCATCCCAGTTTTACTGGCAACCATTTTTTTCACTGAAGTATGGTTAACTTACAATACTGTGTTAGTTTCAGATATGCAGCAAAGTGATTCAGTTGTGTATATATATAAATATACAGGGGGAGGATACAACTCAAGTGGTAGAGTGTGTGCTTAGCACACATGAGGTCCTGGGTTCAATCCCCAGTACCTCCATTAAACAAACAAACAAACAAATAAATAAATAAATAGATAAATAAAACTATTTGCTTTCCCCCTAAAAAATTTTTAAATATATATATAGAGAGAGAGCTATTCTTTTTCAGGTTCTTTTCCACTATAGGTTACTATACAATATTGAATATAGTTGTCCCTGTTTTATATAGTAGGTCCTCGTTGTTCATCTATTTTATATATAGTAGTTTGTATCTGCTAATCCCAAACTCCTAATTTTTTCCCTATCCTTTTCCCCTTTAGTAACCATAAGTTTGTTTTCTATGTCTGTGAGTCTATTTCTATTTGTGAATAAGTCGATTTGTATCATTCTTTAGATTCTACGTATCAGTGATATATTTGTCCTTCTGTTTGACTTACTTCACGTGGTATGATAATCCCTACGTCCAACCATATTGCTGCAAATGGCAGTAGTATTCCACTGTGTGTGTGTGTGTGTGTGTGTGTGTGTGTGTGTACACA